AAAAAAAAAAAAAAAAAAAAAAAAAATCAAAAGATTCAGATTGTATTAAGTTAAATCTTCTGAAGTTTATTTGAACGTCCACCAGTCAGGTTAAAGAAACATGTCACTAAAATGCCTGTAAGTTTTGTTGATTCACAGTTATTCAGAAATGCTATTTGGGAATAAGCCAGTGGCATCTTCTTTTATTTTTCTTCGTTTTATTGAGATGTGATGCCACGAACAGTTAGAGGCTTTTAAATTATCAAACTTTCCGAACAATTAATAAAAAAATGAAGAATATTTAAAAGCGTGTAAAAAGTGATGACCTGCAATTGTTACCTTAAAGAGCTATTTCTATTTGACTGAACCCATAAAATTTAATTTTATTGTATACATTTATGTATTTAGGTTGATTCAGCGATATTAAATAATATTTTTGACTTAAATGAAACCAGTTAGTTTAGATGTTACCATTTTTCAGTGTGTGAAAGCTCGCTGATGCTTAAACTTGTTTTTAAAGGTTTAAGTTTGTGTATATTTATTACTATTATTATTATTATTTACAGACAATATTATTTTTTATGTATTTATTTTAGTCTGCGTCCCAGTTATAGGCCCAAAGACCTTGAGGGCAAATGCACATGTTCTCATTGCCTCACATATTTTCATTGCACGAGCGGTTAATTAATCGGGTAATTAACAAGCGTGCGTCAACAAAACGTCTCGGATTTGCCTCGTTCACTCGGCTTGGTATGTGGTAAATGTGCACATATTCCGCTTGTTTAAAATTGTACTTTAAAATAGTAGTCACACTACACATGCATAATTTCTATAGAGATGAACATAAATATTCATAACCAATTTTTGACCTTTTTTTTTGTTACGGCAATAATAATAAGCCTGATTAATAGGCTGATTAATAATAATAATAATAATAGGTTTCAGTATAAGTAAGCGTTCATATATAAAAACATGACACTTACAAATTACGCTACAGCTTATAAATAATTGCATGTGCGCATGGTCACAATGAATGTTGGCCTTCCACAGCGCATTCTCTCACCACAAAAAAAGTTGTAATCATGCTCATAAAAGTGATTAGAGCCTTTCCCGAGTAATAAACAAACGTCGTGTTAAGCCCCAGATTGATGGCGCCCTCACAGAACGGGCCAGGTCAGGAAGGAATAAAATTCAATCAGTGCGCAGGAATCATTTTTCATGAGACGGAAAAGGCAGAAGGGGACGGGGGTCAATAGGGAGGATGTCGGCCGCCGGAGCACCATCAACAACACCGCAGGAGAACAGCGACACGAACGTGCTGCGATCTCCAGATCAGCCTCTTAAATCTGCATGATTTCCAGCTCCCTCACGAGCATGCAGTCTTGTCGGACTTGAACAGAGCGGTCTGAATTACAGCACAGTCCAGGTGAAGAACTGCATTTTGCTGCTTGCATGCAGGCCTTCATTTGAAATTCCACATGCAGGCTTTCATTCGAGCTCTTGGATTTACAGAGATCCTGATTCCTGCGCCAGGCTGCAGGCTGGAGTGTTTCAGGCGTTGCAATCTCTGGCCTTTGAAACGAATCATAGCTGTTTTACGCAATAATATCAGCCTACATGTAACGTAGAAAAGGCCTATCTTGCTTTGTCAATCCCCTTCTAATTATAACCTCCAATTAATTAACTGAAATGCTTGTTCAAAGCAGATTAAAAGTTATTTAAATATTAATAAAGCACATTTTTTTGCAACAAAAGCGGCTGTTGAAGCGTAAACCAAACATGAATAGTTTGCAACAATTTATGTAAAATGTTTCTATTTAATACATTTTCCGTTCTAAAACGGACTTTTAAAATGTTACAAATATTTGATAATAAAATGCTACACAATCCTGACGATCTCTGTAAACATTATTTTATAGACATGGGATTTG